TGAAGGAGCTGGAGAAAGTTAGGACAAGGGAGTAAAAGGCAGACATAGAAAACAAAGGGGAGAGGGAGGGAGGAAGGCAAAGACAAGGAAGGGGAAAGGGAAGCAGGGAGAAAGGATGGCTCATCCTGTCTGACTTGTCACATCAGGTCATCGATTTCATCGAGCAGATCGTTCAGCGTCCCTGCTACGTCGCCGGGAATTCTCTGGGGTGAGGAGGAATCGAAATTTAGCGACCACTGGTCCCTCACCTCCTCCTCCTCCCTCAGCGGCTACCTGGCGGTCATGACTGCCTCCTCGCGTCCAGAGCTCACCAAGGGTAGGAAACTCTCTCCTCTCTCCAACCTGCTACACTCTCCCTCTCTCCTCTCCCTCCTCGCTCTCTATCCCTCCCCCTTCTCTCCCCCACCTCTCTCCTCCTCCTGAGATCTCTCTCTCTCCTGGCATCCTACAGGTCTGCTCCTCCTCAACGCAACTCCCATCTGGGGTGTTGGCATCCAGAAAGTCCTGCCATGGTCGGGAGGTTACCCGGTGCCCGAGTGGGTCCGTCCCATCACCTTCACCTGGTAGCCACCCCTGCTTCCTCCCCTTGCTCTCCTGCTCTTGGCTTGCCCCCTCCTCCTCCTCATCATCATCATCACAACTACCACCATCACCATTCTCCTCCTCCTCCTCCTCCTCCTCCTCCTCCTCCTCCTCCTCCTCCTTATGACCACCACCACCACCACCACCACCACCACCACCATTCTCCCTCACCACCACCACCCCTCGGTTCTCAACTTACTTTCTCTTGCCTCCTCCGACTCTCACGTAGCCTTCCTTACATTCGTCCTCCCCCCTCCTTGTCCTGTTTGATTCTCTTTCGTATCCTCCCTCCCGTCATGCTGACCTCTCGCAACAGGTGGGACGGCATTCGCAGCTCGTCGACCATCACTTCCCTCCTCTCCTTCGTTAGACTGCTTCTTCTCTTCTTTCCTCTCTTCTCCTCTTTCTCTCCTCCTCTTTGTTTTCCTCCGCCGCTTTTCCTCTCCTCCTGCCACTTCTCCTCCTCCCTACCACAACCACCTGTCTCCTCCTCTCATTTACATGCAAGGTCTACGCCAACAAGGAAAGGATTGGACCCAAGTTGATCGAAGATGTGAGTGCTAGCAGGAGAGGCACAAGTACAAGAAACAAATGGGGAGGAAGCGGGGCGGGTAGGGTGGCGGGGGGGGAGGCAGCAGCAGCAGCAGCAGCAGCAGCAGCATTTTGACGTGAGAAGGGGAAAGGAAGGTAGAGAAGCAGAGAAAAGAGGAGAGGAGATGAGGAGATATTCTTCTTCTTATCAGACATTTCAGATTATCGAGCCAACGGAACATCCTGCCGCTGCTTCTGCTTTCGCTTCGATCTTATGCTCGCGAGGAAGCCTGAAAACGTGAGGAGGGAGAGGGAGGGAGAGAGGGAGAGGAAGCGGGAGGAGGAGAGGGGCAGTGACGACAAACGAGGTCGCGACTGTGTGACACTAACATTTTCGATTCAGGTTTGATCAGATGCTCGGAAAGATCAAAGAAGACAAAGTTCCGGTGAGCAAGAGCAAGAGCATGCAGGATGAAGGGAGGAGAGAACGGAGAGGAACGAGTGGGAACAGAAGGAGGAGGATGAAGGTCCAGAAGTAGGAGTGAGAAACATTGTTCAGGTTGCTCTCCTCTACGGTAGAGATGATCCTTGGATCGTTCCTCTCTGGGTAAGCGGGAAAGGATGAAACGTCCTCAACGCATCCTCTTCTCCCTTCCTCCTCCTTTTCCTCATCTACTTTCTTTCCCTTTCCTTCCTCTCCTGTCCCCCTCCTTGAATCCTTCCTTTCTCTGCGTATCTTGCTCCTCATACTACTCTATCTCCTCCCTCACACTCACTTTTGTTTCTTTTCCTAGGGGTACAGGGCGAAACGATCTCTTCCTCACTCACAGTACTATGAAATCACTCCTGCAGGCCACTGCCCGTGAGTGAAGAGAAAGAAAGAGGAGAGAAGACAAGAGCGAAGAGGAGGAGGACGAGGAGGGCGAGGAGGAGATTGGGAGGAGAGTATGGAAGGGGGTTCAAACGTTTGCGTGCAGGCATCATGAGGTACCGGAGGCTATCAATTATCTCATGCGCGAGTGGATTCTTGGTGAGAGGGACGAAGAAGTCGTATGCGCAAGAGAGGCGGAGAGGAGTAGAGGAAGGAGAAGGGGAGGGGCGGGATGGCGGGATTGGAGGAGGAAAGCAGGAAGGGGACAATGCTCGTTGTTGATCTCTGCTTTCAGACATCGAAGGAGGAGGCGATGGGAACTTGATGGAGGAGGGGGAGAGGGTGAGTGGGAGGCTCCTTGTGGCGGGGAGAATGAGGAAGAACGGCAGACGTTGACGCTGCAGTTCGACGAGACCCACGGGAAACCGAAGCATGACAAGCTGACTGTCACGCTATGTGAGCAGCAGAGAGAGAGAGGGTGGGAGAGAATGGAGGAAGGGGGGGAACGGAGGAGGAGGGAGGAGGAGGAAGGAGGAGGAGGAGGAGGGTAGG